ATATATTCAAAGCAATGTAAGCTCCAAAAAGCAGCCATCAGAGCAGCTGGTGAAACATCAGATTGGTTCGAGGTGCAAATGAGAGTGAGGCAGGGGTGCATTCTCTCTTCATACCTATTCAATATATACACACAAAATATAATGTGAAATGTCAAAAATTACCAGACCTGACAGTTATGACCCGCTCAGATTGGTGGCAACCCTATTCTAGAACTTCACAATGCACATGACACCATCCTCCTTTCGAACAGCGTAAAGAGAATAGAAAATGTAATATTGTCTGTCCAAAGGCACAGTGAAAATCAAAATCTGTTCTTGAATTTAAATAAAACGAAAATAATGTCCACAGATAAAACTGGCTGTCACCCAAAAATGACAATAAATCGTGAAGAAATCAAAAATGTCACTCACAAACTTTGAATATCTAGGCTCTGTAATAAATAGCAATGGAGACAGTTTGACAGAAATTAAAAGGAGGATGGCCATAGCAATGCAAAAATTAAAAAGCCTAAAAAGTCTATGGTTAAGAACCAGCAAGGAGATCAAAATTTGAATTTTGAGAGCATGCATCTTCCCTGTACAACATACTGATGTGAGTCGTGGACTGTCTCCCAGTCTTTAAGAAAGAGAATAAAGGCTTTTGAGCTGAAATGCTATTGAAAGATTCTCAGAATATCTTGGATGAAAAAGAGGAGAAATACTGACATCTTGAAAGATCTGAACATCAAGGAAGATTGGCTAATAAACAGCTGAACATCAAGGAAGATTGGCTAATAAACAGCTGAAATATTTTGGTCATATCAAGCACCACAACAGATTGGAAAAAAATTATAACAGAAGGCATGGTACCATGAAGGAGGGCAGGGGCTTACCAACACGAAGATGGGCACAGGATATAAGAGACTACTTGAGGATGAAAGTGCATAAGGCGGGAGAGCTGGCGAGAGACCGAGTTTCTTTTAAACATTTATGATGTTTCAAGGGAACAAAATATTTAAATTTTCTGTGTTTTATCGTCTTTAATAGCCAGCCTTCTTCAATATTCAGTTCTTGACGTAAATTGGATGTGTCAGGCAGAAATATGCATACATCAAAGCTTAGCTGTAAACTACAACACTTACAAACTAAACTGTTTTAACAGCCCTTATAAACATTAATGCAGAAAAAGAAGAAGATTGTATTATTCATTGTCACTTAATAATTCAGTGGTCTGATGTGCATATTTAATATATAACACAATTTAGCCTTCTAATGGAATACATTCTGCCAAGTATGTTTTTAAATTAATAGTCTGGGAATTAAAAACAGTCGAATAAAGTAGCTTATAGAGAAATTATGTTTTCTAACATTTTTCAGTTTACGAAACAATTCATTGTTTTGGCAATCTGACGGAGCAGCAAGATCTCACTGGGTGCGGTAAGTAACACAGTTTTTGAGTTCTTTAATGGTTCATACAGAGTGGACAGTAGGTTGGGAATTAGAAACAAGATGCCAAACAGCCAGTGCACTTATATATCAACAGACCTCTTTATTAAGACATCCAGATCTCTAGGATTATAAACAGCATATTTGTACCAGTATTATGCTATCAGTGCCATACATGGATATTATCAAAGGCTAACCTGTGTAAAATTAACACTTGTGAATGAGGCATCCAAGACTGAGTGTAAAATGATGCTGTTGGACAAATTGTGGGAACAACACCTTGTATGAAATTAATTGAGAAGCAGCAGATCAATTGGTTTGGTCATTTCATCATAATGCAGTTTAAACAACTACCAGCACATGGGTACACATAAAAAGATCTGATGTGAAAGCAAGAGGGTGCCCAAGGAGAAGATGGATTGCTGAAACCAAAGTCATTCTCCATCGACGCAGAATGAAGTAACCAGTGCTACCCGCTGAGAAATGGTCCTCTTCACAGTGTTTAATAGCAGAAGTGAACTGGATGCTGACAGACTGGACATCACCCGTGTGTGACCGGAACCCATAAGGAAAACAAAACTAGTCACTCTGCAACTTGCTGTGCTTGTCATATGAATACTGGTTATGTCATTCAGCAACAGATAAAAGTTTTGGCATGGGATTGGTCACCTGTCCCATAACATATGAATAAAAGTGGTGGCATGATGCTGGCTGCCTCATCCCTTAACAGAGAAATGAGAAGGGTTAGCATCAGACTGGTTGCCAATCCCATAGCAGAGAAATGAGAAGGGTTAACATCAGACTGGTTGCCTCGTCCCATAACAGAGAAATGAGAAGGGTTAACATCAGACTGGTTGCCTCGTCCCATAACAGAGAAATGAGAAGGGTTAACATCAGACTGGTTGCCAATCCCATAACAGAGAAATGAGAAGGGTTAACATCAGACTGGTTGCTAATCCCATAACAGAGAAATGAGAAGGGTTAGCATCAGACTGGTTGCCTCGTCCCATAACAGAGAAATGAGAAGGGTTAGCATCAGACTGCTTGCCTTATTCCATAACAGAGAAATGAGAAGGGTTGGCGTGTGACTGGTTGCCTCGTCTCATAACAGAGAAATGAAAAGGGTTGGCATGGGACTGGTTGTCTCATTCTATGGAAAACTTGGCTGCAAAATCCACCACATTATGAAGACATCTATATAGGGTTGGATTTGTGGAGTGCTTATGCGCTATTTGGGATATGAAAAGCAGAAGAGAGGGGGAAATGCTGAAGTAATGGACCTGTATGTTGATTTACATCACCGCCTTCAGTGTAAGAAGTGTGTTGATATCCAGTTTAGTCTTACTCACTTAGGAACCTTGGTTAATAAAAGGGAAAAAAAATTACTTTATTCTTTTTCGCATTCACCAGCTCTAAACTTTGGCAGAAAGTACTGGACTTTAGTCCAGAATCTGAGTGTTGCGTGCACATCTCTTTCACTAATCTGGTTTATTTGTTTTCAGTCTCTTAGTTCCTTGCCTCTCAGGCAGATGCATTCTGACTTCAAAGGATGCCTCCAGTCAGTCAACTCCTATGACATGCTTGTTAGTTAGGTAGTGGCTCTCTTGTTTTCCCTAGTGGGCCCCGGAACTCATACAAAAAAAAAAATATCACTTTGATTCACACTTCTTCTTTTGTGATTACTCTTAAAATTGTGATTCACCCATTGCGTTGTGGTATACAGCTAGGCTGCAATGTCTATGCTTTTCAGTGCAACACATCTGGTTTCAGCAAATTCCAGTTGGTCAATTTTTACGGCATGCTTGTTAGTGGGCAGAGGGTTCTTTAATTTTTTTGGGGCCCTATCTGGGAACCCATAACTCACACAGGAGTATCGACTGTTTTGGCAGGCAGGCGCACTATTTGTATGTAATCATCTTATCTAAAGTCTGTCTTATTTTTTTTTTTTCTTATTACTACTAGTACTACTTGAATCTGCATCAAGTCGGATTTCTTCAAAGTTGACCTTGGCCCTAAAGTCGACCTGGCCTAAAAGGGGTATTATCCTTAGAAGTAAAGGCGGCCTGCATGGTGTCTGAATGTCTTCTATTGGTCTGTAAAAGTATGAGTCTGGCTTTGAAAGCCCAATGTGCCGCTGGCATTGAAAGGATTCTCTACTTTTTTTTTTTAAAGTTTTTTTTTTCTGTTTTTTAAACTGCAGCTACAGTGAATGTAAAAATAATTGCATATCCCTTACATGATGTCACAGAATCAACCCCAGCATTTGTGGCTGTTTATGATTTCAAAAGGCAGTTTTAGGTTCATTAGTTTGCCATTGCTCTCTAAATGGCTGGCTGGCTCTTGATATAACTGTTGAAACCAATGCAAGGCGTTCTGCTGCCAAGTCGGCCACAGCTGGGATTGAACCCAGCACCATGGAATTATAAAGCACATTCGCAACACCTAAGCCACAAACAGACAGCAACACAGTAAAATGTGACCTTGTTGAGAAAACCATAATGTGGTCTTTGAACTGGTTATCCTCAGACTGCACGTGAAGAACAACATAATGCTGAAACATTTGTCCATTGGGGTGGTGTCCACTGACCAGAGCTACATGCCAGAACTGGTCACGGTGTCAGTTGGCCAGTCACCTGGCAAACTCAGGGAGATCAAGGAGATTAAGATAGACAAGTGAGTACTGGTGCCTGCTTCTATTACATGTAAAGTCATTAACTGTAATGGTTCATGGGTGCAGTTTACATTTAACACCTGGCAGGGAAAGTAGGGGGTTGTGTGGACCCTCAGTAGATTTCCATGCGGAAAGAGGGAGGGCTCTCAAGGGACCCAAGCCTTGTTGTCTGTAATTTTGTATATATATATATACATTATATATATAATGTGCTGTAAATGTAAAAATATACTTGAAATTATATGAAATGTACAAATAAATACTTTAAAAAGATCACTTTTATACATGGTTGAAAAGGGGAGGGGGGTCTTTGTTCCCTTACTCATTTGGGCGGTTGTGAGCTCCCAGGGTCTGACACCTATGAACTGGTTAAACACAACTTATCATTATTTTCTTTCAAACAATCAGTGAAAATTATTTACTACATCAGCAGTTTTTTCCCTTGGCCCATCTTGCTCTAAACTCAGTGACACATCTTCCGTCTGATTTATGACCACTCCAAAGTATTATTATATATAGACTTGGTTAAGCAGTTTTCATCTGCTACAGTAGCACACTTTAGTAGTAGGTGTCGTTTAAAAAAAAAAATTCTTAATGTTTAAGGAAAATACCTTTTTATTTTGGGTACTCTTTTGATTCAGTGTGCAACAGTTGTTTGTTTCACTATTTATTTGTTAGTATTCTGATTCTTTTATGTTACTAGCGCAACAGTATTTTCTATATTTTTATTTTTATTTTGTTTACCATTTGCAAATAATTGAAACATCTGATTGTCTATTTACTGTGTAATGATGATAATGATTTTATTTACAAGTTGAATTATTGGAAGCAAATAAGTAAACCTATGTTTTGCTACCTTATACAATGTTGATCAAATATTTTATTTTTTTGGGTCTTCTTACAGCCACGTGACTGGCCGAGTTGTGTTGTTGAGAAATATGAAAGCTCATTATCCATGTAAGTGTCAAGTATCACCAGTTTTATTGTGTGAATATTGTTGTAACTGCTTGTCTAACAGATGTTGATGAGGTCTGTGACTATATATGGTACAAGCCAGAAATTCCATAATGAGGGTTGACTCCACTGCATTCACTGCCAACTTTGTGAATATTGTGTGGTGAAACCCCAGTCATGGTGCAACTCTTGTACCACTGTCTGGAAGCCATGAGTGCGGGTTTTTGTCTAAACCATCCGCTACAGGGAATGACCATTGGTAAATGTTGCAGACTGCATTTTGAATAAAGCTCAGTTCTGACACTTGGGTGGATCATATGGATCAGGTCAGTGTACACCCAAGCCATCCAGATATAGATCACCTTTGCCTTACTTTTTCCTTTATTTCTAAGATTTTTTTACCCAGACCCCCCCCCCACCCCCACACACATACGCACGCACGTACACACACATAAATATATATATATATATAAATAAATTAATATACGTTAAAAAAATCCAGTGTTATGAATTTCTGATTTTGAAATTATTATGGATTTCTGATTTTTCTCTCTTCCACAGATGTCCAGATCAATATAAAACGTTGCCATGGAGACGGCTGTGATACAAGAATCCACGGGATCAAGGCAATAGGCTTTAAGTGTGTAGACCTTTCTATTATCAGTTAATTATTATATTCAAAGCAATGTTTTTTCTGTTGTAAATTTGAACAAAGAAGACACAAACAGCAGATTTTGCTGTTTATTGCCTGGCATATTTCGCTGAATTTTATCAGCATGCATACCACAGAGAAAGCTTGGCCTAGTAAAACAGGAAGTTATTTTTGAGTGTTTATTATTTTGTACCTAATATGTAAAGGATTAATTTGTTCGCTTCATTTTAATATAAACTGTTACTGTAGCATGCATCTGTCGAGATATAGTGAATATGCCAGACAGTAAATCTTGAATTGTGTTGTTTGGTGCTTTCCTAATATCCTACCTCAAACAGGGAAAATCCACGGGTCACAGGACAGTCTGATATTTCAGGGGTTGGTAAATAGGCTGCATGCAGTCGTGGGACCTAGGCTGCACTCTCTCGTGGGACGAAGGTGGGTTGGGGGTTGGAGCCAGTACTAGTTGTTTTGGGGTCATTAAAAGCACCAGAAAGTTGGGAAACGCTGTCTTACCACCTTCTGAAATGTTGGACTGTCCTGTGACGTTTTCTGGGGTAAGATATTACGTAAGAACCTGTTGTTTTTGTCTTCTTTGTTTTTCAGATTACCTACTATGTGTTTGCACACAAAGACAGTGGTCGGAGTTGCAACAGGTTGTAAATGCCCTGAATAGCTGGAAAGCATTCAAGATTCGCACTTAACCTCCAACACAGAATCTATATACCTGGTCATGCCGGCATAAAAGATAATGAGCGACCAGACCAGCTGGCAAGCAGTGCATCAACACATGCAGGAAAAGCATATCATCAACACTTTATGGACTTGGCTAGTGAATAATGACAAATTTCTGATACTAACACGATTGCATGACCTGGGGGTAAAGTATGATAAAGCATATCTAAGCTGCCTTTGAGGCTGAGATAGGAGACATTATAACCGATTCCTCGTGGGAAACAATCATTAAAAGTACCTTGGAATGGTGCTGCATCGAGAATTGAGCACGAATGGAATGCTCAGTGTGCAGTGACGTCGATTGTGATAACATAGTGCGAAGTGGTCTTTGGTTCAATCTAGAGCAGTTGCAGAATTGTTTCTCCTTATCAGTATGTCTGAAATTTACAAAATCTGAAGTTTGGAGAAAACTGCCACATAAAAATCATAGGAGATAAAAGGACTAAAAAAAATGGTAGCAACATAGAACCGCCAAATACAGAATGCACTTGTGTGGAGAATAAAACTCAAATCAAGGCAACCATTACATTCCTTTGGAACACTGCTTGTCCAGAACACAATCCCAGAGACCCAATCAGTCTCCTGTCATCAAAGCAACAGACTTGAGGGGACAACAGTCCCTGGGAATCACCATATTCAAGACACACAAACGGGCATTCTCTAGCTATTTAAACTTCATCTTGACCCCACATATTAGAAGAGGATCAAGATAAAATGAGATAAGAAGTCTTGCTATTTTAAAGCATTAGCTGTCTGGGATAGTATAGTAAGTATAGTAAATAAGAGGACCCTTTTCATGCCAGTGGTGCATATGGTGCTGAACTCATATTTGTATAGACCAGTCGGCCCTCGATGGGTGATGTGGCCAACATCATGCCCGCCACCGTTATTTCCTAAGACTTTACCTGGTACCCATTTCTAGGCCATTCTGACCTGGGAACCAGAATAATTTTGTAATAAATCCACCCAGTGCAGATTTGAACGCAAGACCTGTGCACCGCCAGGTGAGTGTCTAGCTACTACACTACCTCTCACTGCTCTCTCTGTACAGTATAATGTCATATATTCATGTCTGCTTGTACTCTCAGGCTGGTGAGAGAGCATGGGATCACAGTGCTGGATGCTTCTGCCCTGTGGTATCTGCAGATGCTGACCTCAACAGTGGCCATGAACCTGCCACAGTCGCCTGCACTGAGGACTGTGTTACTTGGACACACAAAGTAATGTTCAAACGTTTGCTCGTTGTTCTGGTATATTTGTAAATATCTTTATTGTTTCAGGATTGGTTCATTACATTTCTGTGTATGTTGCAGCATTTAACGGACTATGAACACCTCTTTCAGTTGTGCAAAAAAAAAAAAAAAAAAAACAGCAATGAATGTAAAAAATAGAATATTAATCAATGTCAACTTCCTTCCACCAAAAACTACATGACCCCGTAACTGTTTTTTTTTTCTTTTCAAGCAAGGAAGATTTCACACATACACAAATAATAATTACCATAATCTTTAACTGTTGATAGTTATTGGAATGTGTATCAGTTGCTCTTTAGTCTGTGTCTTTGAGATATGAATCCTTCATGTTAAAATATTTTTCTTCATCTGATTTTTTTTTCTCAAGACCCTCACCCATTTCATGTCAAATTCTTTATAGACTTATTTGATTTGATATTAAAGCTGAGTTTTCTATAGGCATACTTGATTGGTGAAAAGATACTTCATCTACAGTCTGAGCCCTTGATCTTTTTTTTGCCACAGATATCACCTGCCTCCTTTCATCTCTGTGATCGGCCTTCTCTTTCCATTTGGTTATTTCAAGTATTTGCTGGTCTGCCTGTCTATATCATCTGTCCACCACCTTCTTAGTATACACAAGAACAACAAGAGTGGCAGTCCTGTATTTAATCCAAATCAAAGGCTAGCAAGATGGGCAGAATATTTTAAAGAGCTACTCAACCCTGAAAACGAGGTAGATAACCTAATTTGTGTGTGCCTAAAAGCAATGACTAACATGAACCATACTTTTTAACATCAGAAGTAAAAGCTGTTAAACAAAATAGCCCTTAAAAAAAGGTACCTGGTTTAGATTAAATAACTACAGAAGCTATTCAAGCATGTGGTCAAACTGGCATCAGATGTCTAATAAAAATGTTCAATACAGCATAGGAAGAAAGGAAAGCTCCACTTGACTGGCAGCAGGTGTTGATTATACCAAATTTAAAAAAAAAAAAACAAGATAGGTAATACAAGAAACTGCATCATTCAGAGGTATATAACTCTTGAGCAACATAGGAAAAATGTAGTTATTAGAATAGAGGTAGATCTACAGTGGAACAGCACCTAAGTACATCACAGTTTGGTTTGAGGAAAAGACAAGGTTGCACAGATGCATTATCGACGATAAGACAAGTTTGCGAGAAAACCATTTAATATGACGACGAACTCAATATTTTGTTTGTAGATCAAGAAAATGCTTTTTATAGAGTATACAGAAACAAACCACCGGCTATTCTTGCAGATTATGGGATACAGGGAAAATTGTAGCCATGTACCACACTTCCCAAAGCATAGTGAGAACACAAGGAGGCATATCTGATATTTTTACAATCTGTACAGGAATGAGGCAGGGTTGTATGCTCTCTCCTCTCTTATTTAATATATACATAAACAGAATATAAAAAAAAGCCAGCTTAAAAGCAGTTGATCCAGGAAATGAGGAACTTTACTTTCCAGAGAAAGAATTAGATCCATACACAATAAATGAGTTATTATTTGCAGACCATCAGTGCTGTACTACAATGAGGGAAGTAGACTTCAAGAACATTTGAACAGGCTAAGTTCAACATGCAGAAGAAGTAACATGAAAATAGATACTACTAAAACTGAAGTAATGCAGGTCAGCAGAATTCCTAGTCCGCTGCGTATTGGGTTGAATAGTACTTGTCTGAAGCAAGTTAAAGAATCTAAATGTCTAGGAAGTATATTCTCGGAGGAAAGGAGATCAGGAAATAGAAACAAGACGCTAATGAACCAGTGCACTTTTATACCATCTGACACCCTTATTAAGACATCCAAACGTAAGTATGAGCGCCAAGAAACAGATTATAAACAGCATATTTATACTAACACTGTGCTACCAGTGCCAGATTTGGGCATTATCAAAGGCTAACCTATGTAAATTTAACACCTGTGAAGTAAGTTGCATGAGAGAAGCCGCCAACATAACCATCCAAGACAAAGTTACAAATGATATTATCAGACAGGACTGTAGAAACAACACCATGCAGCAAGTTCATTGAGAAACAGAAGATCAGATGGTTTTGTCATTCAGTAAGAATGCAGGCCTGAAAGCTATACAGAGAAAAGATCTGAAGTGAAAGCAAGACGCTGTCCTAGGAGAATATGGATTGATGACATTAAAGAGCTTCTACACCAGCATGGATGTCAATAGCCATTGTTGCCCATCAAGCAATGGATCTTCCCTACAATGCTTAACTGCAGAAATAGAAATTGATGATGATAATGATTCACAACCAATCAATCAACCGTGGTTTGTTTACTTTCATATGTCACATAATGTGTTTTATGAAATGTCATTTCAGGAAAGCACTTGAATCCATGCCTCCATTAGTTTTGAGCACCTCCAGCACAGAGAAGCCAGCATTCCTCAGCAAACTGGTACTACAAGAGATTGAGTCATTTGCTCTACAGCTTGCAGACAGGTTTGTGGCTACTTTGTTTATTATAAAGTTGTTTTGTTAAACAGGTTTGGGCTGCATTGTTTGTATATAGTTTTTATTTTTTTGCTGGATAGGTTTGTGGTTACAATGTATAGAGTTGTTTGTGGCTACTTTGTTTATTTAGTTATATGCTGGACAGGTTTGTGGCTATTGTATTTCAAGAGTTATCAACTAATGCAACACTTTAGAAAGATCACACAGAAGATCCTTACATGCCCCTCCCCCTTTTTTCCAGCACTTCAGTTGGGTAACTAGAGGAAGGACAGGAGATTGGCTTCAACAGCCTTAAATCCCATTCTCTACTAACAAACAATGATTGGTCATTAATATATTTATTTTTGTTTCTGTGTGTGTGGTGGATAGACAACGTATATATGAATGAATATTTACAGTTTTTTCTCTGACATTTATCATCATTATCTTAATCCTAGTGTGCCATTAAATGTCATTTAAGGCTCACAGTCTAGTCTTCCTTTTCATTCTGTCCTGTGTAATCCTCTGAATATCATAAATGGAATCCAGTTTCTCACCTTTGGCCTCTCTCAGCAACATTCAGCTTAGAATTTCTGTTGGACACCTTTGTTTTCTCCATTTATTTCCCATTTCAGTGCTTTGTTTGTGTGTGTGTGCTTTTTCCAGTTCTCCTCATGATGTCACATCTTCTTTATCTGTTGGTACAAGCGGTTGCCCAGACATTTCAACTTATTTTGTCCCTTTTCTTGAATTCACATCTTTTGATATTCATCATTTCCTTTAGGCATCTGTTTTCAGATGCAACTTTTATTGGATGTCTTTAGTGGTTCTCCAATTTTCACTGCCAAATGTTAAACTATGTTATAATGAAAATATGTTTCTCTAACACTAACAGTTGTCTATTGTTGTGTTCAGTCATGACAAATCAAGTCCAGAGTTTATTGAAGGTATGCAGGTAATTCTAGCTCTCAACCTGGCCAGAGGGAGTGTGGCCGGTCTAGTCCGCTTTCTCAACAAGATTGTAGGTAAGCACAGTTTATGTTTATGCATGTGCAACTTTTACCATTCTAACAACAACTAAGACAGTTACAGTTATAAGCCGTCAGTGTTAGTTTCTCTGCAGTGAAGCATTGGGCAAAGATATGGACAGTGGAATAAATTGAAACTGTTAAATGTTTTTACATGGGCGTACAAGAGGTATATCATTGTAGGAGGGGGAAAAAAATACAATTTACACAAATCTGGCTATCCACCAACTGATGCCATTATTAAAACTTCCAATCATTATTAATGTGACCATTAAGAAAAAGTTTATAAACTACATATTAATATCATCACTGTGCTAACAGTGCCTTATTGGATATTATCTTAGGCTAACCTACATACAATTCCTACATAAAATTGATGCCTGTGATGAGATGCCTGAGGTACGCTGTTAATTGAACCATTTGAGACTGAATGATGGCCTGTGGGAACAATTAATTTATTAGGAAACAGAAGATCAGTTAGTGTGGTATAATGCAGCCACAACAACTACCAACACAGGCGCTACAACTGAAAAGATAGGATGTGAGAGCAAGAGTATGCCCAGGGAGAAGATAGATTCATGACATTAAAGAAAGTGTACATCCACCTAACCGAATAGCCTGTGCTACCCGTTGGGCAATAGATAGCAAAATGTTCCTTCCCGCAATGCTTAACAAAAATGGAAATTGGTGATGATGATGACAAAATGTGACATTGATGAAAACCTTACTGAGCAAGATCAAGGTGATTTAATATCATTCTCATCATTACAGCAAGACTTTTTAGAATGATAAAACCACAGAGCCCAAATTGAGGAAAAATTGAAGTTCAAAGGCCTTAATTTTGTATTTTCATGATTGTGAAATGGTCATTACTTTCTCTGAAAAAGTTGGCATGTTCATGGTTGCTAACAAATCCACAGATTTTCCAAGCATCACTCTGCCATGTGCTGATCTTCTAGCCAAAGCTATAGCTGCCAGAAACAGTTGCTGGGAGAGGCTAGGTGAGCTGCACAATTCCTTTGGTCTTATTTTGTTTAAATTCTTGTTTAACTCAAAATCTCTGCTTAGGTCACTGGTAATATTTTCACATTACAGTCACAGAAACCAATAGGTTCAGGAAAAAAGGACCCTTTTCACACCAGAGTTGCTTTGGGTACATGATGCTAAACTCATATTTTTTATATACCAAATGTCAACACCATGCCGGCCATCTTGACTTTCAGGGTTGACCTGAACCACAATGCGATTCTTATTTTTCACATTCACTGGCTGTAAACTCTGATGGAAAGTTCAAGTTGAATGTCCACCTCCAGACTTTAGTCTAGTCCAGAACCTGAGGGCTATGGGTATATCCGTTTTATAGATCTGGCTTATTTATATGCTGACTGCTGGTTCCTTGCCTCTCAGGCAGATGCACTCCGTCTTTGAACAAAGCCCCAAATTAGTTGACTATTACAGCATGCTTTTTGGGGAGGCAGTG